CTTCTGGTTTAAAACACAAACCAAAGTTATATGTTTGAAAGTTGTTACATAATACTCAGGTGACCTATAACAAGGGTGCTAATCTACGATTTTGTATATAAAAGCTGAACACTTCTCATAAATAGTTACTGTCAGAAGCGTATATAAACCGTCCGATTTCGTTACACCCGATGGCACACTCGAAACTCGTGACCGATATGTAGTACTCCTATCGTGGTCTTTTTGGGTTTATTTCTTGTTTTTATCTGCTTTTTCTCCTTGTAAATAATATATTGACCTGTATTTTCGAGGATACTTTTGTCCTGATTTGGAATAAATACGTAAAATTTTATAATTTCATCTAGACGGAGTAGCACGCAGTGTAAGATGTACGTCTACACTCGTCGGATCTCTACAGTGAAATACATTGAACTGATTAGCGATCTGCTCCTTTAGACGAGTTGTAGGTAGAGCGTCGAAAAACATGGAAATATTGCAGACTATGCCTATTTACGAGAAGTGTTCAGCTTTAATATAACAGATGTCCGGAACAAGAGACCTGGGATTCAAAATGCCATGCGCCAATACTGCATAAGTACAGACACCTTTTTGTGTGTGCAGCTGTTAAAACATCTAGATTTTAAACCAGATGTTGGAAACAAAAAACTCAAATGCTGTGAAGTATGTGAAATTTTATCCTGCTGCTCAGACTGTGAATTGTGTCAAAGTATTCCTTACTGAGCACAACTTCATCATCAATTGCACTGTAAAAGGATGGTGTGATCTATCCACCTTGTAAACTTGTACATGAAAGACCTTGACTTAGTGTCAGATGTAAAAATGAAACATTTGATTTTTATATGATTTTAGCTCACCTCGACGGAGTCTAGATGAGCTTATGCTAGTCGGCGTCGGCCTCGGCGTCCCAGGTTAAAGTTTTCGGAGCAAGTCCATTCCCAAGTAACTATAAGCCCTACCTGAACTAAACTTGAATGGATGATGCATCTAGGGATGTACACTACCAGACATGCTTCGGATGCTGGATCTTACCTACATTTTCTAAATGACACCCCTACTAATGTGTTCGGAACCTTTTATTTTTCGGTGTTATGCAAATATAAAGCCCGGTGAGTTCAGAGTAGCTCTGGCAGTGGCTCTGGCGAGACTTCAGCGAGATAGGGTAAATTATTCACGGAAATGTGGCTAGGAAGTACTAGCACGTGGAGTCATGGTAAACAGAAAAGTTATGTTGCGTTTCAGTTTTCACCACCCTATAATCATCTGATAATGTCTGTATAAATGTATTTCAATCAATCTATCTCTTTTACATTCATTCAAACTTAAATAAGTATTCTCTTTGATACAATTTTCTGCAGTCATGAATTAAAATTACTTTTCGGACAAATATTCTTGCATGGGAACCGGGACTATATTTTTTGGCGTCCGATTAGCAAATGAGGCACCAGCATGATTTTAACTGACCAATCAGCTGAATGAGTATTGCATTATGGGTTACTACGAATACTACAAGAATTTTACCTCGAATAAAGGAAATCTTATGGTAAATGAAAAACCTTTTTAAAAATATATTGTTTTCGTGCTCATAATGACAAACAATTCATTTGTTAAATGAACGACGGAAGTCTAGGTTTCTGAAAGTCATACTGCAAAAGCAATTTAGTCTGTATTAATTCCTTTGTATTCACTTTGTATTCACTATCTGTGAGTACAATTGCCAGGTGAAATTCCCTGGCCAAACACGTGATCTTGAACGTAAACCAAGTTTTGTCCATTCATATGCATAATAGATGCTGCTCATTTTCCTTACCCTTGAAGCGCTTGTGTTCTGAAGTAGACACAAACTACATTTTATTCAACGTTTTTTTCATTTAACAACAAATTAAAAACGCCCGATAGATGTTTCATAGGTTCTTATCTGTGTATTTTGTTCGTAAGAACATTTTTATTTTGCTGTCCATTAACATGATCGTAGATTTAATATTTTCCGCGGTACGGAGATTAGCGGAAAATAATTGTCTTATTGATTCGGAAATAAAGTTATCCAATGAAAATTGAGGTTTTAAACTCACGTGACGTGAGTCTATGAGAAGTGTTCGAATAGCACGAGAAATCAGTTCTAGCCCGTCTTCTGAAGAAGACAAGTCAAAATTACTATGGAGGATATCGGGGACGCCGAAGTTAATCCTGAGATGCAAAGAATTATCAGCTCTGAGGTTAAAAAAGCGGTGGAATCTTCGCAGAATCAAATATTGTCGAGCATGCAGACCATGATGGATCAGAATTTCAAAAATTTTCAAACTTCAATGGAAACCACGCAAAAAGAACTTTCGTCTTCTCAGCTAGCCAAGATAGAAGAGAATATTTTCGGCACTTACAAGTTTAAAAGACACGGAACGAAGCGCAGTATAGAGGAAACGCCCAAGTCATTACAAAACTCAGAGAAGCGGACGCTTGCCTGGGCAGTGCAAATATTACACTGGACAATGTAAACACAGCGAGGACGAAAATAGGAGAAGGTATTCAACTTCTTACCGAAAGGCAGAAATTGATTAAAATCGCTGACTCAAGTCCATTGGGATGGAAAGTTGTGGCCGAATATCAAGCTAACCCCATCGCGGATGACTCCGATGATGAGAAGAAAATATCGAGGGCAATAACGAGGGCAGAAAAGAAAGAGAAACAACAGCGAGCAGCACGGAAGCCATACGATACGTCATTCAGACAGCACGCTTTCAAGAAAGACGAAACAAAGTCACCAACATCTAAACCAGGAACCTGCTTCCGATGTGGCGGAAAGGGTCACTGGGCGAAGGACTGCAGAAAGAAAATCAGCGACTCAGAGATAAGTATTTTAGATACTTGTTTAATAAGAGATTCTGTAAGATCAGATCAAGAATTTTCATTCAAATTCTCTTCTATTGTGTTCTGTCACGGATCAATGCTCTGTACAGTGTGTAAGTCCGGTGGGTCATTTAAACAGTCATTTAGACAGGTGGGTCGACACAGGTGCTAGCATTTATATTCAAGATATCATTTCTCAAGGTTACAAAATCCCTTTCAAAACAGTCCCAGACGATGTAGAATTGAAAAAACAATAGGTCTTCTTTAGAAAATTCTGAATTTGTTACATCAGAGATAGAGTCTTTGTTGGCAAAAAACTGCATTTCAGAGGTTAATGATAAACCTGTGGTAGTAAATCCACTCACAGTGGCTTTTAATAGATCAGGTAAACCTAGGTTGGTTTTAGACTGCAGGCATGTTAATGTTCATTTATACAAATACAAATACAGGTACGAGGACGCAGAGGTAGCTAGGGACATTTTTGACGCCGGTGATTTTGTTTTCACCTTTGACCTTAAGTCGGCGTATCACCATATTTCAATATTCCCTGAGCATAGGCAATATTTAGGATTTTCATGGACAATTAGGGGTCAGAAAAGATATTTTGTATTTAACGTACTACCTTTTGGTTTATCAACGGCAGGGTATATTTTTTCTAAAGTCACCAGGCATTTTGTCAAATTTATGAGGTCGAATAATGTGAAGATTGTCATGTACTTAGACGATGGTTTGAGCGGTAGTTCTTCACGGTCAGATGCTTTTAGGGTCAGTACTTTTGTAAAAGATGAGTTGCAAAAATTCGGGTTTTTATTAGCGCATGAGAAATGTCAGTGGATTCCAGCGCAAAACGTAGTTTGGTTAGGTTTACAATGGGATTTTCAGAAAGGTTTAGTTAGAGTTTCAAATGAAAGAGTTGATAGAACGTTTGCACTAACAAAAGAAATTTTGAAGAAATCAGATTTTCCTTGCATGTTCAACGTTAGGCTAGTTGCTTGCTTGGTCGGTCAAATCATTAGTATGAAGGCAGTTTTTGGGAACGTTGTTCGCATTATGACTAGGTATTTGTATTTTTGTGTCGAATCTCGGGCTAGTTGGAATAGCAAAATCTTGTTGTCAAAAAATGCAATTCAGGAGATTTTATTTTGGTCAGAAAATATTTACAAGTTAAATGTTAATGGGGCAATGTTAAGAACCATAGACGTATCAGACTTGTGGGAGTTTGAGTTATTCAGTGATGCTTCAGATACAGGTTATGGGGGATATATTATCCCAAAAGGTCAGCTTTCAGACACAGGTTCCCCACAGCAGGGTGGGGATGGTGAAAACGTCTGTGGTTCTTGGGATACGGAAGAGAGTCGTAGGAGTTCTACTTGGCGAGAGCTAGAGGCAGTACACAGGATGGTGCATACACATTCTGACAGTTTGAAAGGTTCCTCTGTTGCAGTTTATAGTGACAATAAAAATGTTTCTCAAATTTTAGAGGTTGGTAGCAAGAAAGAAAATTTGCAGGTTATAGCTTCAGATATTTTTCAGTTATGCGATTATAACAAAATTACTTTATATCCGAAATGGATTCCCAGAGATAAGAATCAGAAAGCTGATTTGCTCAGCAGGCAGACAGACAGGGATGATTGGGGTATAGAATTAGAAGTGTACAAATTTTTGTGCGAGAGATATGGTCCACATGATATTGATGCTTTTGCTACCCATTACAATACAAAATGTCAGATTTTTTATTCAAAGTCATGGTGTCCAGGTACAAGTGGCATCGATGCTTTTGAATTTTCTTGGGTAGGGGCTAGGATGTGGCTTGTGCCTCCCCCCATTGTAATTTCTAAGACAATAAAACAGTGTTTGTTTGAAAATGTGGTCGGGACATTAGTTGTTCCGAAATGGATATCAGCTCCGTTTTGGCCTATTTTACAAAGTTGTACTAACATTTCAGATAGCTTCGTATTGCCCAGAAATTCCATTATTGTGAAGGGTAGATACAGAAAAGGGGTATTTTGTAATAATCCCCTTAATTTTGACATGGTTGCATTCAGATTTGATCATTAAAAATTTTCTATTTGACAGACATCGGGATACGAGAAAAAGTAAGAGCCGATGTGGCCGGAAGCGGAGCCGGAAGTGATTTTCTGATCGATCTAGCTGACAAGATGTCGAATTACCTTCTTCAGGGAAAAAGTTTCAATACTATCAAAACATACCATGGGAATTTTAGAAAATGGAAAATCTTTGCAGAGAAACAAGGTTTTCAGTGTCTTCCGGCCCAGCCCGTTCACATCGCACTGTACATTACTCATTTGCTGGACACAGGTTCATTGTCTCATGTGGTTAATCATGTGATTTATTCCATAAAGTGGGCTCACGAGTTACACAGTTTCGCGGACCCAACTAATAATTCTTACATCAAGTGTCTACAAGAATCATCTAAACGCATCGCCACCCCTACAGTCAGCAGAAAAGATCCCGTTTCGGCCGAGATGTTGATTCGTTTGTGTGATTTGTATGTGAGTTCTAACGACGTGATGATCGTCAGAGATTTGGCCATGATTCTCGTGAGCTTTGCAGCTTTTTTGAGATATGACGAATTAAGTAATTTAAAATGTTGTGATGTCAAAATTTTTGAAAACTATTTGTGTATTTACATTAATAAAAGTAAAACAGATCAATACAGACAAGGCAACGAGGTGTTGGTAGCAAAAGGATCTTCAAGTGCATGTCCGGTCGATATGATGAAAAGGTACATTTTGTTAGCAGACATTAGTTTGTTTTCAACAGATTTTTTATTCAAACCTGTTTTTAGGTCACATGGTGTTTCTAAATTGATATATAAGAACAAAAAGCTTAGTTACACGGCTGCAAGAGAAAACATTATTTCTAGACTGAAAGAAGTCAGTTCAGGGTTAAATCTTGGTTTACATTCACTCAGAGCAGGCGGGGCTACCGCGGCTGTAGCTTCCAATGTCAATGAAAGGTGTATTAAAAGGCATGGTCGATGGAAGTGTGAATCTAGTAAAGATATGTACATAGTAGACGAGTTTGAGAATCGTATCGCTGTATCTAAGAAATTAGGATTGTAAATTTATTAATTTTTTCATACCATTTTTTCTCCCCCTTATTTATGCATTTTATCTTCTCACCCTAACTTTGGTATTTTTCTATCATATGCTTCCTGGGCTAGTCGGCAAATATATATTTGCGTTTTTCTTTTTGTAAGAATAGAAAAGACTTAATATTTTCCGCGATACGGAGATTATCGGAAAATAATTGTCTTATTGATTCGGAAATAAAGTTATCCAATGAAAATTGAGGTTTTAAACTCACGTGACGTGAGTCTATGAGAAGTGTTCGAATAGCACGAGAAATCAGTTCTAGCCCGTCTTCTGAAGAAGACAAGTCAAAATTTATTATAATATTATTATAATAATATGATAGATAATCGTTTATCATATATGTATTTTTTAGAGGCTGTCATATTATATTATAGGGCAAAAGGTTTCCAGAGGTTTTTCTACTTTGAAAAAGTCAAAAGTTTTTTATCTCTGGTTTTCATCCTGGCCATCCAAGTTTTGTATAGATCTATACCACACTAAATAAGGGGTTTTTCTACTTATGCATTTGTATTAAAAAGAAGTTATATGACGTTTGTTTCATGTATATTGTGTTTGAATGTATGTATTGTAATAAATTTCCGGCTCCCCGATATGCTTCCTGGGCTAGTCGGCAAATATATATTTGCGTTTTTCTTTTTGTAAGAATAGAAAAGACTTGCCTGATCTACGTGTTCGAAGTCAAATGTAAACATGTATTTGGCGTAAACGTTGCTCTTCATTCAACGATTGGTCAGTTGCTCGTGGTAAGATCCTCTGTGTGCATTTATAACAATAGCCATATAAGGCAAGCAAAGGTTTGTCTGTGTAGATGATAATGCACATTTTTAACCAGCGAATCAGTCATTAGTGAGCTCTAATTTTTGCCGAAAAGTATAAGATATAATGTATTTTAACACCCCCTCCTTTAGCCACCCGTTTGCTGTTGAAAATCCTGAAATTCTTTCAAAAAGGTCTGGAAATATTTATTACAGGACATGCTTTCCAACGAAACAGGCTATAGAAATATGTTTACTGCCAAATTTATTTATAAAACCGGTTCTACCCTATCACCTCTGAAAAGATCAACCTAAACCACGTGTCTTGAATTTAAATAACAATAGTAGGGGTGAATGAGTGACCAGGTTAAAGTTTTTAGAGCAGGTTAAAGTTTTTAGAGCAGGTTAAAGTTTTTGGAGCAGGTCCATTCCAAAGGAACAATCAGTCCTACCGGGACCAAATTTGCATGGATGTTGCATCTAGGAAATTAATTTGTAACATTATATTCAAATAGATATTATTTTGGGAAATCGCTTTGAATTAATATTTGCTTTACTGCTGTACATGAAACAGCCAGAGTTGAACTGTTGTAGAAGTATTGAAAGCGTAACACATGCTCATCCGATCATCCTGTATGTCTGCTGTTTGGATTCAGTTACAATGCTCATTAACACAATCAATAATGAACAGTACATCAGTTTTGCACAAAATTAACAATAAAACATTAAGGGTCCTCCAAACACCCACAGCTTATGTTCTCATATTATCGAGCATTACTTTTAAGAAGCATATCAACCTTTAAAAACATTCGAAAATTTGTGCTCAACGAATAATGAGGAAACCACAGTAGGTTTTAAATCGACCGAAAACTTTTTAAAATTTTAAATTTATTATCTTCAATAACTGAACTAGTTTTTTTAAGTATTTTCATATCTACTTCTCTACCTATTGAAAAGATACATGGCTCTTAAGCCTCTTCATTCTGAATTATTTATTTTAATCAATTTAATCTATGTATCTATTACAACTAGAAAACTGACCAGTCAGCAAGGGCCCCGCTGAGGGGTAGAAATATTAGGGTGCAGCTCATTGAATGAGAGTTTTACTTGATTACATTAAAAAAATAGATGAAGATTATATGTAACAACTGTATATGTTTAAAATTTCAAGATTATTCCGGACTGTTCAAAAACCTATAAATAGTAAGCTTGTATTTGCATAAAACAGGGGAAACCTCATGTCTCATTAAAAAAATAAATTAAATATGTATTTTAAAAAGTTGTTTTATAAATGCAAGCCTTCAGTGAATGCAAGTATCACCCAGGGTTGACCTCTTCTTCAAAACAAACATCAGTTGCAGACAAAGGTGTTCATTAATCTTCATATGGCAGATAGAGATAAACCTCTAAATTTTCTGCAGTGAGTGGGGATTAATTGCTCTAAACACTCTAATCCTTTTCTTCTAATTTTACAAAATTTACTTTTTTCCAAAAACTGACAAAATGGGGTTATTATCTGATTACCTGTTAAAATTAACAGCATTAAGGCAGAAGAAAATAAAAGAAATACGCAGTACAGTTAAGGTGCGCAATGGAAATATTGACTAAATTTTGTATTTAAAAATGTATTCGTAATCGAGATGGCGATTATTTTTAGTACATTATTTATGTCGGATAATTGTAATCATGATTAATAACTACATATCGAGGACAATTATATTTTATATTTAGACTAGTCACGTGATGCAGCAGTCAAGCGATTTTAGCACAGTGACTTGAAGTATTGGTGTTACATATAAACATCATTAGTGCAAGGGCATAACCAAGTTAAATTTCGAAGTTAACTATTTAAATATTTTCAACACGCATTGTAGTTTAAAAAAAGTGCTGCGATCCTGTGTAAATTCTGCAATTTCATTGTTAAAATTAAACTTGTATGACCGAATGCTGTATTTTTTGCTGGTCAGCGGCATGAAATATTGATATAATTAAATTGTTTTTAAGATTTCATCAGGATCGCAGCACTTTTCAAATACCTTAATAGTTCTATAGTTGAAATTTAAAAGTTTACTTTGATCCATAGAGTGTATGCCCTTGCACTAGATCGATTTATTAAGACCCCCCACATTACCCTCCGATGAACTTGCATACAAATATACGGCAGTGTCAATTAAATAAGTAACGTACAGAAAATATATTAATAAAATAGTGAAGAAGACAAAATTCAAATTATAGGCCCATGGAATATATGTAAATAATATTTTATTTAATTAGAGAATACATATTTTGTTGAGAAAATATTACTTGATCTGTCTCTCACTGCATACAAACTACGTCACGTTGTAAGAAATGACGTCATACTGACAAGTGTATTACAATCAGTGACTTGTTTATAACTTGTTATGTAGGATTTAACTAACGACAAAACAACACGCGGTAGTAAGATTTTATGTAGTTTGATGATTTCTTACTGGTTAAATTAACAGATAAACTCATTTTGTGGTATTTTAAAGAAATGCTGTATGACGTATATTGTGTATGATGTCATAGTCAAGTTTTCCCGTACAAATTAGGCTCCGCCTCCTTTTTGTAACCTTAACTGTGCTGCGTAATTGAAAAAATAAAAAAAGTAATAATGAAAAGAAATATCTTAATATATATATCTTCATCTTAGAATTCAATAAAATTATCATAAATCAAATAAAGTATAAACATTAAATAATTATTTTAAATCCGTATTTCAGAGAATGAACGCAATACTACACATCATTCAAAATTGACCTTAACTTCAAAACAAAGTTCATTTGCAGACAGAGGCAGTACAGTTATTAATCTCAATGTGACAGTTTAAGATAATGCTTAGGATTTTCTTCATGTGAAAGGTTAAATTAATCCCAAAGGAGAAATATTGCTCATCCTTCCAAGTATACGATGGTAATATTCTCAGCAGTTATCTCTCTTTGCCCATTCATTCTTATGCATAGTTAAGGAATCTACCCCACCACCCCAGCTCCAAACCAGAAGACATAGAGAACCAAACTTAGCATCAAAATATGTATTTCTGCCTACTGAACTACCATACCAAATTTGTACCTGATTGGGCAACCATAAAAAAAGTTGGCCGTTCATTCTTATGCTCAGTTAAGGAATCTACCCCACCACCCCAGCTCCAAACCAGAAGACATAGAGAACCAAACTTAGCATCAAAATATGTATTTCTACCTACTGAACTACCATACCAAATTTGTACTTGATTGGGCAACTATAAAAAAAAGTTATTAGAAAAAAACAGTAAATTTGTGGACGGAAGAGTGACAGACAGACGGACAGAGTGATTACTGTAGGGCACCCGCAAATCCTTGCGGGGCCCTAATTATATACACATGTATAGGAGGTGCCATTGTAGTACTATGGAACACAAATACTGCAGCTATATTTAAGTTTATAATTTTGGCTCAATTTTAATTAATTTTTAATAATGTCTACGAGGCTTTAAAAAAACTTAATAATTCATAAATAGATTGAAATTAAATCATACTTCTTCAGGGTTCAGTAGTGGCGGGACAATGGTTACTGTACGTCCTGGTGCATGTAACATAGATGATTTTATATCCTCCACCCATGAGTCCTCCAATACCCTGCACCTGTCGCATGCAATATTTTACAATGCTTAAATAAAAACAAATCCAAAGTTTTCTCAGACGTCCGCGCTTGGTCCTTTTCTTTATACTTGCTCGAATTTTACATTTCAATAAACTCCAACGACAAATTAGATAAATTTTATATAATTGACAAACCAACAGGTAGAGGGTATGAAAGAGAGTTTTGCAATTCTTTTGTCATTTTCCCTACATGTGTAGCAGATCAAATGCAAAAATATATAAAGCTCAAGGAGGAACAATATTTGGAGGATGTGTATTGACTTCCAATTTGTCATTTAAACATGTCAAAATTAGTCTCACGGCAAAATACGTGTATATCAGACTTTCCGCATTTTTAAATGGGGAATCCCCATTGTTCTGCCTCCATGAAACAAAATAAATTTGATATATGCCCAAAGAGTCATGAATTTACATTTCTTCAAAACTGCCATTTCCTATATTTTTGTGTCAAAGAGGCACATTTTTGAAAAGCGCAAAAATTGAATAAAATTTTTTTCTCCAAATGAAATGCAAAATGTGTACATTAAATAACACTAGAGAACCATCGTGT